ATTATTTGCAAACTGCAGAGACTCCACAGTAAATCAAAGTCTTGTCACAACTGTGTAAGACCTCTTTAAAACAAATTGTGATGAAACAAAACACTTTTTTTATATGTGTCATACATTTTCTGTTGTGTGATTTAAAAAAAAATCCTAACTTGAAAAAGATAGTAAGACAGGGAAGAGTCTTGCATTTTTTGTTTATTTTTATTTTGGCTATGTCAGGTAACACTTATATATGTATTTTTAAGGTAGTTATAATGGTTTTCCTAACTGTTTTGGCATGCACGGAGGACTGTGATTTGGCATTTTGGAAAAAAATAATCTGCATAAACTTTAAATAAAATTAGGTGTAGAATTATCTTTAATGCTAGAAATAAAAGCAAAAAAAAATTGTTTTTTGCAGACCAAATAAAAACTTCAAAACAAAACCATGGTGTAGATCTTTATACTTATGCATGAATTAACACATAGTCCTTTAATATGGATACGATAATAATATTTGATTTGATTTGATTGAACCATGCTTGTTGTATTTTATCATATTTAATTAATAATAATAATAATAATAATTATATATATATATATATATATATATATATATATATATATATATATATATATATATATATATATAATTTTTTTTTCATTATCGGTTTAATGTTCAAATTACTGTTTTTTTCAGTAGATTATTTGTGTATGTATTATCAAAATTGTAGTTTTTTATTATCATGTAAGCTGTTTGCATTTGGAGAACATTATTTTTTTCTGTGTGAAATACGAGGTATTAGATACTAGCATTGAACAATTCATTCAGCACACGCAACCTGGGTGCATTAACGAGGCAAACTAGACAAACTACACAGACAGACAGACAGACAGAGAGACTGATAGATAGATAGATAGATAGATAGATAGATAGATAGATAGATAGATAGATAGATAGATAGATAGATAGATAGATAGATAGATAGATAGATAGATAGATAGATAGATAGATACTGGTCATATTATAGTAAAATGCTTTCTTTGATGGGCTGTTAAATATATGTAAACTTAACATCTATATATCAAAGGCAAAAAAAATAATAGTAAACAGAGAACGATGAAATATATTGACGCGCTCATATAATGTGTACGGGCGCCGAGCGCGTTCACGTGAGAGTATGTACGCTTTTTGCGTGTCCAGTCCGCCTGTGGGAGCGAGTTTAAGTTAAACAGTGAGAACAGCGCCTACTAGAGTCACAGAATACGACGGTCGCAGAATTTGGTGTAACACCGGTTTGTCGGTCATTGTTGCGAAGTTGGGAGAAAATGTTCAAAAAAAAAGTGTGTTTACAGATTTCAGAGACAGCAGAAAGTATACAACGTACACTGCTGCGAAATTCAACGTAAGTTTAAGTTTTCACAGTTTTCCTTCAGACGTGGACCTTAGAAAACGGTGGCTTGTAAACATACGCCGAGATGATTTTTGACCAACCGGCAATTCCAAGGTTTGCGGTAACACTTCTGCTTATAGGTTCCCCAGCTACCGTCACCTGACGTCTTTCTGGTGGCTAATCGAGCCATCCATTCACAAAATCATTCGTGTGTCCAGGGCTAAATCTGCTGCTAGAAAGCAGGAAGACGTCATGGATGTACTGCCACCATCAGAGGTAGGTTTTATACGCACAGTAAGCATGACTGTATACACAAACACATATATGTATATACATATATATACACATACGTGTGTGTATACACACACACTTACATATAAATATATGGGGTAAAATAAATGCTCATATCATAAAGGCATGGCGGGGGAAAAATGTAATTTAATGCAGTGCTTCTTGTACAATCTGTGACCCACTTCAAATCGGATATCGCTCAGCCTGTGGAGATCGCTTTTTTTTTTTTTTTAAAGAAAACAAACCTTAAACACGCCGATTTTGCAACGGCATTTAGTTCACCGGAAGCGCTTAACACAGGTTACTGGCAAATTAAAAGTCCTATGAGAATACTTCGGTATTTCTTCATAATGGTTACAGGTTTTTAGCTTTCTTCAAATATCTTCTTATGTGAAGAAAATCATTAAGCTTTGGAACTACTTTAGTTATAGTACAGTAAATAGTGAGTATATTTTCATTTTAGGGTGAACTATTCCTTTAAATGTCTGAGCTGTCAACTGAAATAAGAGACAGAGTATTGAAAACAATCTTTCTTTATATGAAGAAATCAATAGGCTACAATTTAAATAAATGACCTGTAAGTAAAATATCGCATTTGTAGTTATTGTTAAACATCTTTACTGTATTTACAGCTTGATTTTTCTAAAGCAGACTAGAGTTTGAGTGTGCAAAATTCTGTCATATAACGCTGTGAAAAGAGGCAGGATAAAACAAGATGATCAAACGTTGATAAAGCGAGAGATTGCTCCATATTTTACATTTCTGTACAGAGAGATTCAATTTTTGGGCTTGGGTTGTATTTGGAACTAACTTTTGTCAATCATTATTTGATTTAATTTTTATATTGATGTATACTTTACACTTTTGTTATGTTGTTGAATTAAATATTATTTATTTTTTTAAATACATTCTTTAATTTCATCCATCATCATTTTGTGACTTTTTTTTTTCAAATATAGGTTCAGGCATTGTAACCATTTCAAAAGTATCAATTTGGCATGACTGTTATGAAAATTAGCCACCAATAACCTTAAAAAATAAACATGATTGAGAAATTCCAGCATTATGGATGTGACAAAACACAAAACATTAATTTACTTGAAAACATATGTTGGCATTGAATTGAAACATTTGTTTAGATTTTCCAAAACAACTAACCACAGAGATAAGGAATCAGAAAAATATCAATTATCAAAAATGAGGAAAATGGATGTGACCAAAAAAAGTCAGTGAATTTACAGTACACAACATACTTTAAAAAATATGTGAATTAAACTGCACAACCCAAAAGAAATAATGCAAATCAAAAGGATAAGAGTTGACTCAACAAAATGTATTGATTTTATGCATTTTAAGCATGACTTTGGTAAATCAAATATAATAGTTTGAAAACATTAAAAGAGACATTTTGTTTTTCTGTTTGTACATTACCGTAAATACTTGCTTACACAGTTAACCTAGAAACAGTTTCGTGGTTTTGTTGGAAACTTTTTTTTTCATGGCAAGGTTGACATTTGCATGGAATTGTTTGATTACTAAAGTTGAACTGGCAACCACAAATTAACCAGGTTTTTCTTTTTTTGTAACCATATATAATATATTTTGTGTACATTTCCTACCTTAATGATATCAAAACTTAAGATATACAATAATATATATTATAATAATTACACACTATGAATCATTTACTAAGCATTAGTATCTAGTGAGTTCATTATTTATTAAGCATTAATTCTACATTAACAAGCGTTAGTAATCAGTTTATAACTGCAGCTACAAATGCTGTATTCTTGACCTACAATCACATATATAATGTGCCTAATAATTGTACTGTCATAATTTATTTTTCATTACTAAATTAACTAATGCATTATTTACTAACCGTTTGTATTTAAGAGTAGTTGGTGGTTTTTAGGATAATTTGGAATGAGTAAGTAAATGATACTAACTCTATTGGAATCAGCGTTTATATATCTTATTATTCAGGCATATAGTAATGGTTACTACTGTATCTATGTTAATAAATGCTTCATTAACTCAACTTATCCAGTTTTGTGATCTAATCTAAAGTGAGGACTATTTATGCCTTATAAATGCCTTATAAATGACAATTAAAGGCTCAGTATCAAATGAACAATAAGCTTTGCAAGCTTATCTAAAAAGTAAAATACCGTAAGGTTTACACATTGCCCAATAACAGGAGTGTCAAAATACGAATTAACATTGGATAAAACAACAACAAGATATAAGAATTTAACAATATTATAAGATGCAATGTTTAAACTGTGCCGTAATTGTAATTTTGACAAGATTACAAAGATTTATTTTTTATTTGATAGTTTCATTTGTGTATCTTTAAATGAATAGAAATTATTAAAGTTGTTTATGTTCTTTTTTCCTATTTAGAATTGAACTGAGCCTTTAATTGTCATTTATAAGGGGTTTATAAAGCATAAATAATTCTCACTTTGCTTTAGGTCACAAATCTGGACGTTGAGTTAAAAAAGCATTTATTAACATACAAATTAGCTATTAGCAAATGCCTGAATAATACAAATTAGAAATGTTAATTTAAATAGTTTATTAATCATTAACTTATTCTGAATGATCTTAAAAAACAACCAACTATGCTTAAAAAACTGGTTTGTAAATAATGCAATACTTAATTTAGCAATAAAAAATTACCTCAATAACAAAGTTTGAAAGTACAGCTATTATGCACATTATAAATGTGGTTGTTAGTCAAGAATAGAGCTGATTTGTAGCTGCAGTTATAAACTGCTTACGCTTGGTAATGTAGAGGTAATGCTTAACAGATAATGAATTCACTCATTGCTAATGCTTAATAAATGGTTCATAGTGTGTAAGTGTTACCAATGTGATTTTTGATTAGTAATTTGCATTGCTAAGAACACAATTTAGAAAAATTTAAAGGAGATTTTCTCAGTATTTTTGTTTTTTGAACCCTCAGATTTATTAATAAGTTGTATCTCAGCCAAATATTCCCCTATCATAACAAACCATACATCCATGGAAGTTTATAGGATGTGACTCTTATACTGGTTTTGTGGTCCATGTCACATGTACACTGTAAAAAATAATTCACTGGATTTACTCAATTTTTTAAGCTATGTGGATGCAACCAATTTATATGGGCTGAATTTAAACAAACAAATTAAAAGTAGTAATGTTCAGCTTAACTTGTTTGTTTAAATGCAGCCCATATTAATTGTTTGCAACCACTTACCTCAAACAAATTAAGTAAATCCAATAAATTTTTTTTTTTAAGTCAAAGAAATACAATAACCCTAGTAATAAGAAATAAAAGACGAACACTGATTATTTTTCAAAAGGTTTATTGAATTTGTGTCAGTTTGTTGTTTGGTCTAATGGTGCAGAAGACGCGAGCTCATCACGTTTTTGGTCGTTTGTGAAAATCATACAAAACAGAAAAAGTTGAAGCAGTATTGCTGTGGTCTTCGACAGTGTAAACTACAGACATCGTGGTAAACATAAACCCAGGATAAAGCTGGTTTACTCAGTGGCCTACACTTTCAGCTTTCAGCTCTAATAACAGACCGCTCTAATGTGGCAATGCAAAGAAGGCACTTTAAAGCTGTTTTTCTTTTCTTTTCTTTTACTCTCAACAGAAACAACAGAGGAAACTTCATTCTTGTCAATTTACTCCAGCGTGGATCTTCAGTGCCTCGGGTTCACATGCAGCTCATTCCAGATCCTCGTTTTGGGTGGACTCGTTAATTATCTGCAATGGACGAAAAATCAAAAGGGTCAGATGTTATGTAATATCTTTATATTTATACAGCTGAAGTCAGAATTATTAGCCCTCTCTTTTTGGAGGGAACGGTTTTAAAAAGAAACTATTTTTTTAACACATTTCTAAGCATAATAGTTTTAATAACTCATTTCTAATATCTGATTTATTTTATCTTTGCCATGATGACAGCTCATAATTATTTACTAGATACTAGTATTCAGCTTAAAGTGCAATTTAAGGGCTTAGCTAGGCTAATTAGGCAAGTTAGCCCAGCTAACAATTTTGTGTTTAATAGACGTCTAATAGACATCTAATTGTTGACAGCTTGGCTAAAACAAGGCTAAACTTGGGCTGTCAGTGAAATGCTAATAGACAACTAAGAATAGCCCAAAACTAGACTAGTCGTCAAATAGACAGATTAGACTTGATATGTGTAGTCATTCGTTTCTGTTTATTTGATGACTAGTCTTGGCCTGTTCTTAGACAGCTATTAGATTTTTACTGAAAGCCCAAATTTAGCCTTGTTTTACCCAGGACGACTATGTTTAAATGTCTTTTAGACATCTAGTAGACATCTTTTAAAAACAAAAAATGTTTAATTATTTAAGAGGTTTAATTATTTATAATTAATGGTTAATTAGGCAAAGCTTTGTATAACGATGGTTTGTTCTGTAGACAATCAAAAAGTATATTGCTTGAGGCGGTTTATAATATTGACCTAAAATGATTTTTAAAAATATTTTAAAAAACTGCTTTCATTTTAGCTGAATTAAAAGAAATAAGACTTTCCCCAGAAGAAAAAATATACGAAAAACTGTTAAAAATTCCTCTCTCTGTTCGACATCATTTGGGAAATATTTAAAAAAGAAAAAAAAAACTGTGGGGCGAATCATTTTGACTTCAAATGTATATTAAATAAACAGAATCTTCTTGCCACTCACATGTCCGTCTCTGGTCTCGATGGTCTTAATCACTACTTTTTTTGACAGGTTGTCAATCAGAGGTCTGGTTTCCTTCATGGACTCTGCAGACAGAATTAAGCATTTTATTTTATTAATGCAATTTTTCTTTAAAGGGACAGTTTACCCCAAAAAATTAAATTCTGCCATCATTTATGCAGCCTTGACTTGTAAACCACAATAGAAGATATATTGAAGAATGGAGGAAACCTCCAACCTTTGACTTCTATATTTGTTCTTTCTACCATTGATGTCAATGGTTACAGGTTTTCAATATTGTGACCAATTTTCCCCTTTTCCTATTATAAGGATGGGAAAACAGTTTGCCTACCTGGTGCATGGTCTAAAAAGGTTGTCCTTATGGGTGTGATGTATGTTCATTAAATCTCATCTCTCATTCCCTTTAAGAGCAAGTTGAGGTCGCACAATTACACATTCGCTACATACAGTTGAAGTCAGAATTATTAGCCCCCCTGTTTATTTTTTTTCACTAATTTCTGTTTAATGGAGAGCAGATTTTTTTCAACACATTTCTGAACATAATAGTTGTAACAACTCATTTCTAATAACTGATTTATTTTATCTTTTCCATGATGACAGCTTAAAGTGACATTTAAAGGCTTAATAGGTTAATTAGGTGAACTAGGCAGGTTAGGGTAATTAGGCAAGTTATTGTATAACGATGGTTTGTTCTGTAGACTATCAGAAAAAAAAATTGCTTAAAGGGGCTAATAATTTTAAAACGGTGTTTAAAAAATTAAAAACTGCTTTTATTCTAGCCGAAATAAAACAAATAAGACTGTCTCCAGAAGAAAACATATTATCAGACATACAGTGAAAATTTCCTTGCTCTGTCAAACATCATTTAGGAAATATTCAAAAAATTCAGAGGGGGCTAATAATTTTGACTTCAAATGTTTATGGAAATCTTTGTAAGTAGAAAAACTGAACACTTTACTATAGCAAGAAACTTGGTTTCCTTTCAAAATTTATAGCATGAGCCTAATTCTACCAAAGCTCCTGAGGTGAAGAAGGCATAGGAGGAGGTAGCGGCTGTTATATTTATGTAGGAAATGATAATCTTTTACATTTATTCCTTTAAGTCTTCAAATTCTCCTGAGACCCCGCCTATTGACTTGTAGTCTGTAGTGGACATTGCGTTTTCATAAATTTTCTTTGAATTTTTTAAGCTACTCTGTCAAGTCCTGTTGTACTGTTTAGAGGACATCATGGGCTAGTGAAATGTCACTTAATTGGCTGGCATGCTAGGAACCACTTCTTACACTACATCCAAAATGGCGGACATACAAAAAAGCACATTTTATGGGAAGGAGAGAGGTATGTAAAATTTAGCTTTTTAAATGTTAAATGTTAATGTTAAAAGTTTTTTTTACTGTTATTATTACATATATATTTGTTTATTAAAGTGTCAGGAACAATATATTTAGCTTTCAAAGCTGTTAACTTGTTTGTGTTTCAAAATATCATCCTTTTTTAAATGCCCACTATAGTGGACACCAGGACCATCTTAATGTAATTAATGACTGCATGTTGTAGGAGGCAGAACTCAAGCAGAGAGGATTCTTTATAAGATAGTTGAGGGAGACTCTGACTTAGAGTCTGACAGACAGTTAGAGCATTAGAGAATGACAATCAGTTTTAAATTGCTTTCATGTTAAATTTGTTTTGGATTAATATCACTTTTTATTATTTATTTTTTGTTTTGAGTTCGGCTCTCTTTCAGACTAAACTGTTCCAGGAATTTCAATACAAAAAGAAAAAATGGCTTTTGTTTTGATTTTGTTACATTAATATTGGAATAATTTCCCTTTACAGCCATATCCTGTACAGTTTTGTTGTCTGAGTTTGGCGGTCGTTTCGAACTAAAATGGTCCTGTGGTCTACTACAATGGACAATCTGTAACTAAAAATAAAACTCTAAATTGTAGAATTTTTTTTAACCCAAATGATGTAGGAAATCACAAAAAAAAAAAAATAAATTCTTTTGGTCTCAGGAGGATATATAAAGATATTTTTGTGCTGCTGTTTTATTCTCAGATCATGTTTATTAAAAACTGCTTCACTAGTTAACATTGGTGAGCATATCTATTAACTGTTATCTTTCTGCATGATGATGTGTTTAGTTGTAATAGATTATTTTGCATTGAGAATTGTTTTCCTTACATTCATAAGGATGATGTAAAGCATACTGTACCTCGCAGGCTTAATGATGAAAAGTTGGGAAATGGTGAGGTGATCCTACAGAGAAATAAACACCAATTATGTGTAAAACCCACAATCCAATACATATTTGTGATTATTTTTAAGGATAGTAATTTGAATTTTCTTCATAAATTTTTTATACTTTGCCATTATCTTTCAAACATGTGTCAGCAAGATGTTTTTAATCATTTAAAATTAAATTTGCTCAATCGTTCTTTATAAGCACAGGCATAGGTCAACATAAGTATGTGCTTTTTTGTACATATTATATTTGCATTAATTAACATACATTATTTACATTTTTTAACCAAATATTTACATGTATTTCTTTTTTTGGTGGGGGTTATGCTTTATATATAATATGCTTTATGTCTTTATGTATTTTATGTAACTATATATAAAAACCACAATTAAATATTTGTTTTCTATTTTTAAGAACAGTCATTTTTTTCTTCACTAAATATTTATACTTTGCCATTATCCTTCAAAGTGCTGGGTTTTAACCATGTTTCAGCAAGATGTTTTTAATAATTTAAAATAACATTAAATATGATCAAGCATTCCTTATATTTTACAAGTACAGGTCAAAATAAGTATGTGCATTTATTTTTACATAACTATATTTAAGGTAAGTAACACATCTACATTGTTTACATGTTTTTTTACATTTGAAATTTATAAATGATTTTTTTATATATTATATATATATTTTTTATAATATTATATATAGACATTTTACTTGCATTTAGTATGCTTTAATTTAATATGCTTTTAATTAAATACTCATTCGTTCATTTTCTTTTTGGCTTAGCGCGGTCACACTTTACAATAAGGTTCATTAGTTAATGTTAAGTAATGCATTTATTAACATGAACAAACACTGAACAATACATTTACTACTGTATTTATTCATGTTAATAAACGTTAGTTAATGAAAATACAGTTGTTCGTTGTTAGTTCATGTTAACTCATGGTGCATTAACTAATGTTAACAAGCATGGACTTGAATGTTAATAATGCATTAGTAAATGTTCAAATATAATTAATAAATGCTGTACAAGTGTTTTTCATGATTAGTTCATGTTAGTAAATGCATTAACTAATGAACCTTTTTGTAAAGTGTTACTCTTAGTGCCTTTATTAATCAGGGGTCACTACAGTGGAATGAACCGCCAACTTATCCAGCATATATGTTTTACGCAGCGGATGCCTTTCGACGCAACCAAACACTGGGAAACACCTATACCAGGGGTTAACTGATTTACATATGTTTACATTGTTTACATATTTTTACATATTGAACATACATATTACATTTTTTTTTTTTTATTAATTATTGCGAACATTTTTCTTTTTTCTCTAACACGTCGAAATGGGATGCCTCGTATTTGACACATATATAAAAAAGCTAAATATTACCTGCTTTCTTCTCCTTCTAGCAGTTTCCTGTAGGTGGCGATCTCAATATCCAGGGCCATTTTAACATTGAGCAGATCCTGGTATTCCCGCAGATGACGTGCCATCTCATCCTTCATGTTGCGAATGTCGTCCTCCAGACGGCCGATGGTGTCCTGATAACCAGACGCCTCCATGGAGAAGCTGTCCTCTAGTTCTCTCATCTGACGCTCCAGAGACTCATTCTGAAATCATGAACGCAATGATATGCAATGTAAGTAGCCATAATTTAAGAGTTGTTATATAGTCAGATCACAGAAAAACATTTTTGTTTCTTGAAAATGAAAGTACAGATGAAATAAAATCCCTAAAACTATATATATATATATATATATATATATATTTAATATATATTTAAAGCATTTAAATGACTCAGACTAAGAATTTGTTATTCTGCATATTCCCAATTATAACTAAAACATTTAGTGTTTGAAATAAATTAAAATATTAAATCATTTTTGAGCGACTCAATTTTTTTATTTTAACTTACTTAAAGTACAACTAAAATTAAAATGACGAAAATATATAAACATAATTAAAAATATATAATTGCTAAATTATCATATTTACTCAAAATTAATTTTTATGAAATCTAAAATATTGTATTTCAGCCAGTCAACATTTCTCATTTTCATTTAGTTCAACTTCATTTAGTAAAATATATGAAAGTACACACAAAATGAAATAACTAAAATGCTTTATTAATAAATAAACTAAATAATATAAAAATAAATAGAAAATATTACTAATTATTACTAAATATTACTAATATTCCTGTTTTTCTAAACTAAAACATAGTAAATTAAATACTGATAAATATAAAATATAAATAATTATTATAAAAATAATTGTAAAAGTTTATAAACATTTTTAAAACAGTAAAATGACCTCAAAACTCCAGAAAAGTATGTGTAAAGATAGAAAAGAAAATATATTAATAAAAATGTTTTTAAATATTAAAAATATAAAAAAGTATCATCTGAAATTAAATATAAAATATATATTTTTAAAATGTATGCTGAAATAAAACATAAAATAAAGTATCATCTAAAATAAAAGATCATATAATGATTTTAAAGTACTATTATGACATGAAATGACTAAAAATACTATATTAATAACTATATTAGATAATAGGGAAAAAACTAAATAAATATAAAATATTAATAAAATCCTGTTTTGCTAAACTAAAACATAGTAAAATGTGTGTTCACTAAATATTAATAAAATACACACTAATTAAATTAAAATAACATTTTTAAAGCATTGAAACAACCTATAAATATAAACATAAAAATAAAATAAAATAATAAAAACATAAATATAAATAACTAAAAGATTATCTTAATGATACTGAAGTGCTAATATTAAATAAATAAATAACTAAAAATACTATATTAATAACTATTTTAAATAATGAAAAAAACGAATAAAATATTATTAAAATCCTGTTTTGCTAAACTAAAAAAAGTTAATTAAGTACTAACAGAGTAGAATACAGTAAATTAAATGCCAATAAAATACACACAAATTAAATTAAAATAGCTTTAAAAGTATATATACATTTTTAAAGCATTAAAATGACAAAAATATATAAGGATAAAAATTAAATACATTAATAAAAAATATCTATATACTATAAATATAAAATAAAGTATCATCTGAAATAAAATATAACAAATAAAAAGAAATATAAATTATATTTTAAATATATACTGAAATAAAATATAAAATCATCTTAACTAAAAATAATCATCTAAAATAAAATATCATATTAGTGATATTAAAGTACTATTATGAAATGAAATGACTAAAAATACTATAATAACAATATTAAATAATTGAAAAAACATTAAAAAATATAAAATAATACTAAATTAAATACTAATGCAGTAAAACAAATACTAATAAAATACATACTAATTAAATTAAAATAATGTAATAAAACATTACATTTTAAAGCATTAAAATGACTTCAAAAACAGATAAAAATAAAATTATATATATATATATATATATATATATATATATATATATATATATATATATATATATATATATATATATATATATATAGAGAGAGAGAGAGAGAGAGAGAGAGAGAGAGAGAGAGAGAGAGAGAATCTCAATGATAGTATTAAAATGCTAATAATTTATATATTTATTATATAAATATTTGTCTTTTTCTTACTGATTACATTTATAACACAATTAAATAAATATAATTTCCCAGTACCCACCGTTCCTTTGAGAGCTTCCAAGTCACAAGTGAGAGCCTGGAGCTGGCGACGGTAATCATTGGCCTCCTGTTTGGCCAGACGGATAGTTTCATTGTTTCGAGCAGCAGCTTCTGACAGGTCAGCAAACTACAAAGAAACACCAAGAGAAAAATAAAGCTCCATCTGCCTCTCTGGCTTTTGTGTTCAGTTTGTAACAACTGGACGACACACATGATTATTCTAGCTTGATGTTTAAAGATCTGAGCTAATGCTAATAGATCAATCGCTCCATTAGTCTGATCAATACTGAGAGAAAGGAGCAGATGGACTCCATAATTCCACACGTCCACCATCTGCTGCTTGTAAGAGTTGATCTTGAGATGAATCGAACTTGTTTCTGAAACATCTAATGTTGACTTAACAGATTAGCAACACCTCGGTTTGTAAAATTGCTAAATGAGCCTTTGTTGCATTGTTTAGCTGGAGACTTAAAGGGACAGTTCATCCAAAAAAAAAACAAAAAAATCTGTCATTATTTACTCATCCTACACTTGTCTGGTTTTCTTTCTTTTTTGAACACAAATAAAGATATTTTGAAGAATTTTAAAAATCTGTAACCATTGACTTCTATAGAATTTGTTTTTCGTACTAGGGAAGTCGATGGTTACAGGTTTTCAGCTTCCTTCAAAATATCTTCCTCTGTTTAACAGAACAAAGAAACTTAAAATGGTTTGGATCCACTTGAGTAAATAGAGAGTGAATTTTCATTTTTGGGTGAGGGACAGTTCAGCCAAAACTAAAGTTCTGTCATCATTTAATCATCTTACACTCGTTACAAACATGCCTGAGTTTCTTTCCTCTGTTGAACACAAAAGAAGATATTTTGAAGAATGCTGGAAACCTGTAACCATTGACATCCAGAGTAATTGTCTTTTAGTTTCTGACCTTGGATTTGTACCAATCCTCAGACTCCTGCAGGTTTCTGGAGGCCAGAGTCTCGTACTGCTGCCGGACGTCTTTCAGAGCGGCGGTCAGGTCAGGTTTGGCCACTTCCATATCGATCTGCAAATGCTGCTCCTGCATCTGGATCTGCATCTCAGCAAGTTCCTGTGGAGGTGTTAAGGAAAATATTTTTAAGTCCAAATTTATAGTTTGAGACCTATAGTGAAGTATATTGAAAATAGTATGTTGAAATGTTTGAGGTAAACTCATGAAAGTTTGAATATGGTGGAGCAAAAAATGCTGAAACAAAAAAAAATCTTAAAGGAAAATTATTTGTGAATGACTTTATTACTTTAACTTATTTAGGGTGGCAAGCTAGCTCAGTGGTTAGCACTGTCGCGTCACAACAAGAAGGTCACTGGATCCAGTCCCACCTGGGCCATTTGGCATTTCACTGTGGAGTTTGCATGTTCTTCCCATGTTGGCGTGAATTTCATCCTGGTTTCTCCCATAGTCAAAACTCATGCGCTACAGGTAAATTAGAATTAAATTTGGCTGTAGTGTATGAATGTGTGTGCGAATACGAGAGGGCACGGGTGTTTCCCAGTAATGGGTTGCGGCTGGATAGGCATCTGCTGCATAAAACATATGCCAGAATAGTTGGTGGTTCATTCCACTGTGGCGACCTCTGAAATAGAGACTAAGCCAAAGGGAAATGAATGAATGAATGAATGTTTATTTAGATGTTTTGTTTATTTTTTGATTGGCTACAGAACAAACCACTGTTGTTAAATGACTTACCTAATTAGTTAAACCTTTAAATGTCACTTTAAGCTTAATACTGGTATCTTACTAAATAACTAGTATAATATTATGTACTGTCATCATAGGAAAGACATGAGTTAATAGAAATTAGTTATTAATACTAGCATGATCAAAAATGTAAAAAAAAAATAAACATCTGTCCATGAAATAGCACTTATTTAATATTTAAAACTGTCTATCTTCTTTAAAAAAAAAAAATCAGACGGACTTAAACTTTTTTATGTGTAGTTTCTAAACTACACACATTTTGTAGTTTTTAGCTGAATATGAACAGAACATATTTGATTCTAAAATAAAATTGGCTAAAGAACAAACCATCCTTGTCTAATGACTTGCCCAATGAACTGAACTTAGTTAACTTAATTAACCTAGTTAAACCTTTTTAGTTTGACTGGAAAGTTGTATTTATTTAAAAACTTTTAGGGTTAATATTATAAGCTTCATTAAGATTCTTTTTTATTTACTGTTTTGATTGGAAACCACTGTTGTCGAATGACTTCCTTAATTAACCTAATTTACCCTGTAAGTTGCACTTTAAGCTCAATGTTGGTATCTTTAACTATTGATTTGAATAATTATCCACATTCTTTAGTTATTAAAACTAGTATGTTCAATAATGTGTTGAAAGATTGGTTCAGTTTAGTTTTTTAATGTAAAAACTGTCATGATTAAACTTATTATGCCCATTAAGAATGTTTTTGTTTCTGATTGGCTACAGAACAAACCACTATTGTTGAATGGCTTTCTTAATTAGCCTAATTAAGCCTATAGCCACTTAGCTGATGATTGATTATAAAGCTTGTTGGCATGCTGTCCCTGGAGAGAGCCCTGAGCTCATAAGATCCTCGAGCCCGGGGTTCCCTCCCATTTGCAAGGCGAGAGGGGAGTTTGAGCTCAGGTAGATCTCAAGAACTCCCCTGCTGTAGTAGCTACTGAACAGATAGTGATTGATCTTAAGAGATAACTACTTACTAGCATGTCTATGATGCTGATTTGGATTAGTCAATGAACTTAAGTTGCATGTTTTTTAATGGTGGGAGGAAACCGGGAAACCCGGGGGAAATCCATGTAAGCATGAGGAGACTGTAAACTCCGCACAGAAACGTCTGCTGGCTTGGTAAGAAGTAGAACCAGTGAGGTTTTGCTGTGAGGAACGTAGGGTATTTATAGTGGCTTAGGAATTGTCTGATTGGTAAATAATAAATTAAATAATGCGGGACCGTCTGCGAGCAATCATAAGCACGTGATCCTCTTGAAATTATTTTATAAATAAACTTCACTTAAGCCTGGGGTGTCCAAACTCCTGGGGTGTCCTGGGGGGCCAGTGTCCTGCAGATTTTAACTTCAACTTGCCTCAACACACCTGCAAGGATGTTTCTAGAAAGCCTAAGAGTTTGATTAGCTAGCCTAGGTGTGTCTGATTGGGGATGTAGCTAAAATCTGCAGGACACCGGCCCTCCAGGACCGAGTTTGGACATGCCTGACTTAAGCTCAACATTGGTATCTTTAATTATTAAATTGATTAATTATTGGCATTCTGTAGTTATTAAAAATAGCATGTTCAAAAATGTGTTGAAAAAACTAAATCTCCATGAAAATAGCACTTAATATTTAAAAATGTCTTTACTTCTTTTCAATTAAAAAAATCAGACAGACACAAACATTTTTACAAGTAGATACTATTCATATATTTATATATATATATATATATATATATATATATATATATATATATATATATATATATACTTGCTGAATAAAAACAGAAAATATTTGATATTAAAAAAAATTGGCTAAAGAACAAACCATCTTTTTCTAATGACTTGCCTAATTAACTGAACATAGTTAACCTAGTTAAACCTTTTTAGTTTGACTGGAAAGTTGTATTTAATTAAAATATTAATATTATAAGCTTCATTAAGATTCTTTATTATTTTTAGTTTAGTTAATTTTTTAGTTTTTTAGTATAGTTTAATTTTAGTTTATTGGCTACAGAACAAACCACTGTTGTTGAATGACTTCATTAATGAACCCAATTAAGCCTATAACTTGCACTTTAAGCTCAATGTTGGTATCTTTAACTATTAAACTATTTAACCATTATATAAATTATCATGTTCAATAATGTGTTGAAAAAATAAACATCTCTCCATGAAATAGCAAATGGGAAATATTTAAAAATGTCTTATGTTAATAAATCAGACAGACCTCAACATTTTTACATGTATCTCTATACTACACATATTATTTAGCTGAATATAAACAGAACATATTTGATTCTGAAAATTAGTTTCTTGGCCTTGAACTAATACACTTCCTGATCCCGGAACAATGTCTCAGCTTCATTATTCTGCAGGAATTACGCCCTTTTCCATGACCCATTTAGTCACTATGGCAGCAGGTCACAAATGCCTGACAATCCCCTGATATTAACAGACCCAACAAAAGTGTCAGTCAGCCAGAAAAACCAGGACTGTGAGCAGTAAGACTGAACTCCCAGAGGATTTTAATTCAGTGTTTTGCTCACAGCAGCCCTTTTATAGTTGCTTTTGCTCAGCTTTTGTTTCCATATTTGTCACAATTTGTTTTAATAAAAATATCTTCTTTTTTATTGGAAAAATCTGAGATCATTATTGATGCTCTAAAGTAAACATGAACTTGTTAGGGTCTTTTAAGGACTTTCAAGGAGCAAATTTTAAATATTTCAATTTGCATCCAGTGTTTTTGCTGTAAATAAGAAACACATGATGAAACACATTTATGAGATCTTATTTATGATGTTTCTCAGTACCTCATCGTGAAGCTTCTTCAAGAAAGCGATCTCTTCTTGGAGGGACTCCACCTTTCTCTCCAGGTCCAGACGAGCCAGAGAGGCGTTATCAACATCCTGTGGGTGAAACACATGGAGAATTTTCCCATCTTATCGATATTAGCTTTCTTTGCATCCATCTAAAACATGTATTCTTAGTTTTTTGGGGGGGATAACGTAATTGTTTTATGTTTAATTCACTAAAATTTACGAAAATGATAAAGCTAACTTAATTGGTTTATGTTGGGACAACATGAAGAAACTGTGAATCCCAGCATTTTGTAAACTGTATTAAAATAAGTTAAAGCAACACAAAAATATTTGTTGACTTTTTGTCATTACTTTTTTTTCCATGTACAGATATTGATATACAATTAAAGTCAGAATTATTAGCCCCCCTTTAATTTTTTTTTATATATATTTTTTATTTTGGCTAGAATAAACGCAGCTTTTATTAAAGAAAAAACATTTTCAGGTAAATATTATTAACCCCTTATTAGCTATTTTTTTCTTGATAGTCTACAGAACAAACAATCAAACCAGTTATTAGAGATAAGTTATTAAAACTATTATGTTTAGAAATGTGTTGAAAAAATCTTCTCTTTGTAAAACAGAAATAGGGGAAAAATTAACAAGGGGGCTAATAATTCTGACTTCAACTCGTTCATTCATTTATTAATTTTCTTTTTGGCTTACAATTCGCTATGGTTAAGTTAAATTCAAATTTATTTAATGAGATTCATCCCAAAATAAACTCCACATGCTTTTATAATACACAGTAAAATGTCACTAAAAGAAACTAATATAAATAACTTTCTCATGAAGAAACGTATAATAGGAAATAGTAATACTGTGAAATTGTCTTTGCTCTGCTAAGTATTAGAAGTAAGTTTTGAAAATATCGACCTACAAAATTTCAACAAAATTTTCCCTTTGTTTGCTTCTCTGGATTTTTCCTATTTTTTTAACTTGTATTTAAGATTTTTCTCTAACATATTTAGATGTACAAGTTTTTGGACCGTTAACATCAATTATTTTGTTAGATAAGCTCCAGATTTGGCTTCAGTGCTGACTAAACTAATATATATGCACAAATATAATATTGTACAGCTTCCTATTAAATATAATTCTAACTTCAACTCGTTCATTCATTTATTCATTTTCTTTTTGGCTCACAATTCGCTATGGTTAAGTTGAATTTAAATTTATTTAATGAGATTCATCCCAAAATAAACTCCACATGCTTTTATAATACACAGTAAAAATGTCGCTAGAAGAAACTAATATAAATAACTTTCTCATGAAGAAACATATAATAGGAAATAGTAATACTGTGAAATTGTCTTTGCTCTGCTAAGTATTGAAAGTAAGTTTTGGAAATATCGACCTACAAAATTTCAACAAAGTACCCCTTTTTTTGCTTCTGATTTTTTTCCTATTTTTTTTTTATGTGTATTTAATATTTTTCTCTAACATATGAATTTAGATGTACTAGTTTTTGGACCGTTAACATCAATTATTTTGTTAGATAAGCTCCAGATTTGGCTTTAGTACTGACTAAACTAATATATATGCACAAATATAATATTGTACAGCTTCCTTTTAAATATAATTCTGACTTCAACTCATTCATTCGTTTATTCATTTTCTTTTTGGCTCACAATTCGCTATGGTTAAGTTGAATTTAAATTTATTTAATAAGATTCACCCCAAAATAAACTCCACATGCTTTTATAATACACAGTAAAAATGTCACTAGAAGAAACTAAAATAAATATAATATTATATAACATATTATATAACATATAATATAACATATAATAGGAAATAGTAATACTGTGAAATTGTCTTTGCTCTGATAAGTATTGGAAGTAAGTTTTGCGAAAGAATTGGAGGGCTAACAATGTCATCTTCGACTGTATGTAAATTCAACTTAACCAATGAATAACAATAGCTCGCCCGCTGCCAGTAATTTGTTCAGCTGCAGCTGTGGGTGGCAGATACTCTTTAAAACACATGCATATACACAGACACACACACATCCTCTTCTCTGCGTCCTCCATAAGTCACCAATGTCCCCTAGTTAACGCCGTCTCCTCCCATCCGCACAACAGTTTGCTTTGTCATGAACAGCCAGCCGGCTCTCAGACAAAGCTTTGTTTTCAGCGGTGTGTGTCTAAATCTGATGCTGGCCGAGAGGGCAGCTTGACCAGGCCTGCGCTGACCCTTTGATTGTGCACAGACTGCTCACAATAAGACTTGTCTTGCACACACTGACTGGACCGACTGTTAACTGATCGCAGCGTAATAGTGGCTTTGTTTGCACTCGATCAAACGTCAGGTTCAAGAATGACAACCATGCATGCGCAAATAGTTGTTTGTGGTGATTTCTTTACTGTGAATGTGAGCGGATGTACCTGTCTGAAGCTGCGGAGGCTGTTCTCAGCATCTTCTCTTTGAAGCATCTCTTCTTGAAGTCTGGAAATGAGATGCATATTTAAGCAGAGCCACACCCTTTACTATAAAAACAGCCTCGTGGAGCATCACACAGTGGATAGAAATCAGTAATCAGTTTATTTTAATTTACTGTATCAAAACATGAAGAAATTATGTTGTTTTTTTTCCTTGATAATGTTAAAAAAAAGTTTATAACAGAGATTTGCGCCAATAGAAATTCAACATGCTATTATTTGACACTGAACACTGTTTAAAAATGTCAGCTTTTTTTAAATTCAAGCCATTAACATGATTTAATATTAGCATTTATGCTATGTAAAATGGTTCCTGTTTTAAAATATTTGATTTTATCATTATGAACTGTATATCTGATCATATTTTAATGAAATGTCTTAAGAATTGTTAAATCTCTGTATTAAACAAGTCATTTTTATATATTATATAAATTAAATTATATATTTATTATATATATTTTTTATTTTAATGAAATACTGTCATAATGATTACACTATTGCACAATTGCTAGCCTATGCTTAACACTTTTTTATTTTATAGCAAACATAAAAGATTGCCTATACATTTAAAATGAAGTATTTCTAAACGAGTCATACGTTTTACAAAGCATTTTATAATGCATTGTTAGATTATACTAACAAATGTCAATTTAAGCATTACGAATGTATAGGCGATGTATTTTGGTGCATTTAAACAAAACAGATTTACTAAACAGATATATTTATTAAAATATTATTTTAGTCACCAAACATAGTTAAAAATTGATGGATAAAACAATTAAATTAAAGCAAAATATTGCAAAAACTAAGTACGACCTACAAAATTTCAACAAAATTTTCCCCTTTTTTGCTTTTCTGGATTTTTCCTCTTTTTTAAATTTGTATTTAATATTTTTCTATAACATAAATTTGGCTGTACTAGTTTTTCATTAATTATCATAAGTTATTTTGTTAGATAAGCTCCAGATTTGGCTTCAGTACTGATTAAATGTACCCTATATGCACAAATATAATATTGTATCGCTTACTATTAAATATATAAATTTAAAAGACAGATCTGTGAGGGGTGTACTTATATATGTTGAGCACTGTATTTGCCTAAAAATGCTTTTATCGAAAGAAAGAACTTTTAACCTCAATGGAACCTTTTAATTTCCCAAAAGCTTCTTTACAGTGGAAAAAGATTCTCAAAATGCTATGAAATTGTTTTAAAATAGTTTTTGAAGAACTTTTCACTAAAATTTTTGAGATCCAGAAAGGATCAATGAACAATAAGCACAATAATAAATATTTATAATAATAATAATAATATTTATATTTATCAGTAAAGTTTAATTTAGTTATGACTAACCTATAGGCTGTTTAAGTATAAAAACATAGTGAAAGTTACAAAAAAACAGACAAACATTCATCTGTTAACCTTTTAAATGCACATTAAGTTAGCATAAAATAACAAAAACAAAACGTAAAACATATTATGTGCGCCTGCAAGTTATTTAACACTTGACACTAAGTTTTTAGACAGTAATAGTGCCAGAACAGACCTCTCCTTGAGGCGCTCGATGTCCTCCCCTAGGTTGTCCCGGTCCACCTCCACTTTGCTCTTTTCCCCGGTCAGCTGATCCACCTGTCTCCGCAGCTCCCGCATCTCATCCTCGTACAGATCTCCGACCCGGGACGCTCCTTTGCCCCGCAGCTGCTCCAGCTCCGCGATCAGGATCTTGTTCTGCTGCTCCAGAAAGCGCACTTTGTCTATGTAACTGGCGAACCGGTCGTTGAGGTGCTGCATCTCCGCTTTCTCATTGGTCCGGTTGGCTTTAAACTCGGTGTTTATGGCCTCGGCAAGCCCGAAATCCAGAGTGTCGGTGGCGAGTCTGGGAAGGGGCGCGCCGGAGCGCACTCTCAAGCTTTTACTCGCGTACACGGATGGAGGCGCGCTGCTGTAGTTGTAGGACGTGCGCGAGGAGGAGACGCGCACTGGGCTGCTGTACTGCCGGCTGGAGAAAGTGGACCGCGCCGCCGCGGGACGCTCCCCGCCGAACATCCTTTTATAGGAAGATGTGCTTGTTCGACTGGCCATGGTAATCCTTTAGTTTGCGGGTTATTGTTGAAGTCTAAATATCGCACCCTGTCCAGACCAAACGGGGATACTGCGGAGGTTCGGCTGGTTTTTATAGTCCACTCCCTATGCTAATGACATAACGGTGCGGGAGGCTCTGTGACGCAGGCACGCCGCCGGGGCGGAGGGGTGAGGAGACCCTCCAGAACCTGCAGTGAGAGAGTTTCATGGGGAAAAAGCTGGAAGATTTGTTTATTTTTTGTTAGAAGATTTGTTCAATTCTTTATAAAAAATATATGCAAAATGCAGGGTTCCACACAAATCCTACATGTTATATATATATATATATATATATATATATATATATATATATATATATATATATATATATATATATATATATAATTTTTTTGTACAAATTTAAGTGAATTGAACATAAACCAATCAAGTTGTCCCCCCAAAAAACTTAAGAACTGTCTTGTTTCAACTCATTATAAATAAGTAGTTTAAACAAGCAGCAAAAGTTATTTTTACTGAGTCTGTTTAGCCAATTTATGTTTAGCATTATTTAAAAAATAAAAATGAATTAATTATTTAGGCCTTATTGATCATCATCATCATATATTAACATAGCCTCTATTCTACCAGGAAAAAGCACATTGAGATTAAAAGTCTCTTTTACAAGAGCCTCCTGGCCAAAATTAAGCAGTTCGGCTTAACAAAAAAAAAAAAAAACAGATAACATCATTCATCAAAACAAGCAAAAAAATTACAGATCAGTCAGAACATCTACAGACCAGTGTTTCAAAATCTTTTTCAAGGTATGTAGAGAAACCAACTCTTTCAACTGCAACTTTGATTGCAGGTTATTTCATGCAAGGGTTGCTATTTAAAAGCCTTTTTTCCCCTTATATCACCACTGGTACAATAAATTAAATTCCTGAGACTAAAGGCTATAGAGACAGTTTTTTTCTTTCACAAATGTACGTTTGCAGATATGAGGGGAGTAAACCCAGGATAGATTAATAGACAAAGATATACCAATGCTTGAACCGATGGGTGGACAAAGCAGACCATCCTACCTGAGAGAACAACACAAAATGATTGTGGGATTTGTGGGATGAGTGAGGGATTTAATATTTGTCATAAACCTCAGTGCACCACAGTAAACAGCATCTAATTATGCTTATTAATATTGTTGAGTTATTTTTTAATTAACTTTGGGGTAAATAGATTGAGGTATTAAGCAGATTTGTGAATAATAATTGAATAATTTAGGTAACTTCTGAAAGAAGATTTTATTCAAGTCAAATTATGTATTTATTTGTTTATTTAATGTTAGTACTATTTAATACCTAAGCATTCACTGATGGGTGTCATGGTGCTACGCAGTGGGTAGCATGATTGCCTGACAGCAAGAAGGTTGCTGGTTTGAGCTGTGAATGGGCCAGTTGGCATTTCTATGTGGAGTTTGCATGTTCTCTCCGTGTTCGCATGGGTTTTGCATGCTCCAGTTTGCCCCACAAGTGCAAGTTCAAAGACATGCAGTACATATGAATTGGGTAAGCTAAATTGACCTTAGTGTACGAGTGTGAATGAGTGTGTATGGGTGTTTCCCAGTGATGGGTTGCAGCTGGAAGGGCGTCCACTGCGTAAAACATATGCTGGATAAGTTGGCGGTTCATTCTGCTGTGGCAACCCCTGATGAATAAAGGGATTAACCTGAAAAGAAAATCAATGAATGAATGAAAGAACATTCACTAATACCAACAAAACTGGTTTTATTTGTTAAATCAAGTTAAAATGATGGTAACAATTGCAGATTACATTTGCAACACATAGCCTATTGTTTTTAAAATATTTATTTTGATAAATTGTTTGGCAACTTCTAAATTAAGATTTTTATTCAAGTCAGAATATTAAATATAATATTGCTAAAAAAAAAAGGGCAGCCTTCACAGCATGTTTTACTTGTTAAATAGCAACAAGTACAGATATAATTTGTAATAAATAATTGTATAAACGTTCATATTAATGCAATGGCAACGTCTTAATTAATATTTGATTCATGTAAAAATGTTGTGTTATTTAAGCTAAATGTATTAATTTGTTTAAATTTTATTTTATTGAATCTTTTCCACCCCTAAAAAATTATTAGATAGATCAGGTCAAAATAAAGAAGAAGAAAATCTGGTCGAAATAACGTACGGCAACAATTGCAGCTTACTGTTGCAATAAATCAATTTAATTAGCATTATTTATTCAATTATATATTAGTAGAAATAAGTTGCATTAAAAACATGAAATTGACTATGTAAAAGTTAAATAGGTTACAAAAAACGAACAACTTAATAAATTAGTAGAAAAGTCGCCTACCTCAAAGTCAATTCGAGTAATTTGTCTTTTTTAAGGTATCATTATCTACTTTAACCAAGCTGATAATAATAATAATAATAATAATAATAATAGAAGTGTCAAACGAGAAAAATAAAATAGCGGAACGTTCTACTAGTGTTTTTGTTTCTAGTCGGTCATGTTTTCGGGGACTCTCATGAGCCATGCTTGAAAAGCTGCTGTCAAAACATCACATACCTCATCTAAAAGTGAAATATGGAGAACACGGAGCGACTGAGAGTATTTGAACTATACAGCGGGATAGGAGGAATGCATTATGCTTTAAAGGGTACGACATTTGATTCAAACCTGTTGCGATTATTGACAATCATGACTATCAAGCAGCACAGTCTCTGTCTCTGTAAAATTAATAACATGACACGTATTATATTTGAGTTTTATAATCCCCACAAGTGTCACTGTTCCCGCACTGAACTGTTATTTTGTAAAGTGTTTTTTCAGAAACAAAATATGACTTTTCACACGTCTGTTTTGATATTTGTGGCTTTTTAATAGTCTTTGTCAGGCCGTTAAACAAATTAGGCATTTAAGTGTTTGTTTTGTCACACGTTATCGATTTATCCCTAAATGTCAAAATTGTTATTCATACTTCATTCTTGTGTTTCCTTCAGAGAGCTTAGTTCCAGCGGAAGTTGTAGCTGCTGTGGATGTCAACACAACAGCCAATCTAATCTACAAGCACAACTTCCCCACTACACAACTCTTGCCAAAAACCATAGAGGTCAGTCGTTGTTTCATTTTCATCTGATTATACGATGAGACATTTTGTTCGTTTTTAAATTACTTCCATGGGTTTTATACGACTTCACTTAAGTCTTTTATTTCTGTAGAAGTTTTCACTCTATATCCCATTTATTGATTACATTAAAAATGGCTAACAATTTTGTATTATATGTTTTCTAAAATGTAATGTGTTATCACTTCATTAAATACAGTTGAAATCAGAATTATTAGCCCCTATTTTATATTTTTTCTCTTTTTTTTTTATATTTCCCAAATAATGTTTAACAGAGCAAGGAAATCTTCAAAATATGTCTGATATTGTTTCTTCTGGAGAAAGTCTTATTTGTTTTATTTCGCCTAGAATAAAAGCAGTTCTTTATTTTCTTAAAATCATTTTAAGGTCAAAATTATTGGCCCCCTTAAGCTATATTTCTTTCCGATAGTCTACAGAACAAACCCTCGTTATACAATAACTTGTCTAATAATTACCCTAACCTGCCTAGTTAACCAAATTAACCTAGTTAGGCCTTTAAATGTCACTAAGTTGTATAGAAGTGTCTTGAAAAATATCTATTCAAATATTGTTTACTGTCTTCATGGCAAAGATAAAATAAATCAGTTATTAAAAATGAGTAATTAAAACTATTATGTTTAGGAACTAGGGTTGGGCATCTAAGCTATAATGCCGATCCGATACGCATCTCGATACAAAGAATACGATCCGATATATTAGCGATACATTTGTGACATATTGCGATGCAACACGATACGATTCACACCCATATCACGATACAATGCGATAATTCAGCACTAACTAATTAGATCAAGTTTATGAGATGATGTGAAAGAGGATGCTGTGCAATTGAATGAGTTTGATTATTTATTAACCAAGTAAAACCAAGACTTTTTTACAAAATGGCTTTTCTCTCAGAGCCAGAGTGTCAGTTTACAGTAGAGGGCCATTTTAGAACATATAGCACATATTATTTAAGTATTTTCACGATAAACAGAATGTATAAGTGCAATATATATTAAAAAATATATATATTTGCACTCTTTCAACATAAAGGATTATCATTGCACAACAAGAATTGTGATTTAACTTTTCAACTATAAAAACAAGTTTTACAAAGATATATTGTGCCACTGAATATTCAAAACTTAAGGTGGTGAACTAGCAGTGTTATGCTGCTTTGAAACATCACTGTCACTGTAAACAACAGGCTGATAAAAATATAACAAACCAGCAATCTTCTTGCTGTGAGGTGGTCAAACTACCCACTGTGCCACCGTGACACCCATTATTTTTATCATTATTATTATTAATATTATTATTATAATTAAATAAAAATTAACAGGAGGAGGTATTTAAATCCTTCGTTCTCTGTGACACTGGGCTGAATATCTTTGCAGATGAACAATGCAATAACATCCGTTATTGGCGTAGAGCGCACAAAACTGTTGTGCATGGAAAAAACTTTCAATGCTTTTCTCACCACTTTTGGAGCTGGTAGCTACAGTTGAAGAAGCAGTGCGAAAATGCAGGAACACTGGAAGATGCTTTCACAACAACACAGAGGCGCCGATTTAAGTGAGATATCAGATTAGTCGTACTGCCCGCGTATTTACAGATGTGCGGCACATTTTGCAAATTGCATCTGTCCTGTCAAGTCGTCCATCCTTAAATCCATAATGTTGCCATACTTTAGATTTAAAACTCAGTGGGGAATAAAATGTTTGTTTTGCTTCTCGCGCTTTCTGAGGGCGCACCACTAGCTTCATCCGCACACCTGATACATTGAGTTGTAGTGTAAGTGTACACATCCGCAAATCCTTGCTAAGGCATACTTTATGTAGGTTGATTAAATTATGCGCCAAAAACAGGTTGACAACACTTGCTAATAAATAAAAAATACATTCTATATTAAAAATATAAGCTGTATCTTGAAAAAACCGATGCATCTCGCAAAAACCGATGCATCTCGATTTGCTTCCAAAATTTCATTCATCCTCTGCTGCTCTACCGATGTACTCGCATCGTGCACGCGCATGACCGCGTATCGATACATATCGGTTAATCTTCCCATCCCTATTAGGAATGTGTTGAAAAAATAATCT